CGATGCTCATGACGGCATACAAAGATGCTCCTGATGCCAGAAAGCTAGATGATCATGAAGCTCCCAGAACCCCAGACCCTGGACACCAGGTGGCTGGTTGAGGTCCAAGTCGAGTTAAATGAGAGAGGAAGGTAGGCACATGGGGGGGGTACCATATATATGTATGGCCACCCCGTAAGATCTATGCTTGCAGGCATCATACCATCTCATGCTTACTTACACATACGTGTACACTAGTCATAGGTACAGAAACCACCGTGAATATCGATATAATAGCCTTTATCCCCGAAGACATACAGCCGTGCTGCTACGCGTCTTGTTTCGATGCATCGGCCACCAAAACTAACCCCTTATGTGTTCGGAAAGCCGAAATTTTCGGAAGGTATTGCATTTCATGTGCTGACCTTGCGGTTTTTTGTTGCATTTTTCGGTTGTGAACCTACGCTATTCAACGTTGGGCTCCTCCTGATTTCCTAGTTTAAACTGTTGTCTATAGGGTATTCTATACAGTATTCTCAAAGGTATCCTAAAAGATATGCTAGACGATATTTTATGAGTTATATTTAAGGTATACAGAAGATATATTCCAGAAGCGGTCTTCTGCAATGTATTCTACTCCAGGGTATTCCACATGGTATTCTATAGGGTTTTCCAGAAATTGGTCTACAGGGTACTCCATAAAGGATTGTACAAAAGGTAGTTGGGACGGTACTGCACAGGTAGGTGAAGCTTTTTAAAGTATATAGAGGGGGGATTCTATCAGATAGTTGTAAAGCTATTTTTCTTGCATGTAGAGGGATTCCTACAAGGCATTCTATACAGTATTCCAGATGGTATTCTGTAGGGCTTATGTATGGTATATAGGAGTATGTAAAGCAAGGTATCCTATGGGGCATTCGATAGGGTATCTACAGGGTATTCCATAAGGTATTGTATAAAAGGTATTCTATAGGGTGTGGACAAGAATTCTAGGAGGTATTTCTACAGACTAAAGGGTATTCTGCAAGGTATATACAGGGCATATAGGATATATCTTAAAGGGTATTTTGCAAGGTACATAGCAGGGGTATGCTATAAGGCAATTTAAAAGCTATTCTTCCACTAGTAGGTTCCTGATCTCCTACATAGATCAATAGGCTTGGAGTCACACTTGATTGTGGACGGCTGCGCAGTCATCACATGTTCCTTATCACTAGTCACTAGAGCTTTTGCTAAGCACTCATTGGCTCAAAACTTCGGCTGGAGGGTAACTGAACGGACCAGGCGGTTTTGCTTTAGGCACCCGCCCCGAAACCGATTGATGTTCAGAAAGCTCGTTCTGGCCGCGGCTGGTGCTCCTGCTTTTACACGCCAGGTTTTGCTTTGGGCACCAGCCCCGAAACCGCTTGCTGTTCATGATGCTCCGGCTGTGGCTGATGCTCATGCTTCTTGTACATGCCCCAGGCTTCCAGGTTCCAGATTTCCACATCGACGGGCCTCATGACTCAAGATTCCAGCTTTCCAGATTGACAGGCCCCCGGATTCCAAATTCCAGATTTCCAGATTTGCACGCCCCAAGGGTCTAGAGATTCCAGATTCCAGATTTCTGGAAATCTGGAGCGACAGTCAGTCTCACAAATCAGCTTGTTCCAAGGTCCCTTTCTCAGCCTGGCATCACTCGGCAGGATTCGATGAGCCGAGAGCTCGAAGAGAACTACGACCTGCTGGAGAAAATCGGGCGTGGTTCAAGCGGGCAGGTTATCCGGGCTCGAAGAAAGGCGGATGAGAAGGAAGTCGCTCTGAAGGTCATGTCAGCAGCCACTCCAGATGTTGTTGCGTCACGCCGCGCAGAGTTCGAGATACTCTCCCGCCTAAGTCATCCCAACATCGTGCAAGGCTTGGACTTTTTCTGTTCAGACAGTACGGCAGTCATCGTGCTGAGCTACCACTCGGGCAGCACGTTGTATAGAGCCGTCAGGGACTCCGCGTCTTCTTGTTTGATGGAAGCAGACTCGAAGCGGCTCTTTCGCAAGCTTATTTCCGCAGTTTCGTATCTGCACGAGCATCGCATCGTGCATCGGGACGTTAAGGCCGACAACATCCTGGTGTCGTCTGATCTTATGGACCTACACCTGGCTGATTTCAACACTGCGAGGCCACTTCTGGAGGGTGGCGCTCTTACAATGACGGGGACAACGGAGTACGCTGCTCCGGAAGTCTTGAACGGAGAGTCGCCTTCCGAGCAGCATGACGTTTGGGGTGCCGGCTTGTGCCTGCACTGGATGCTGATGGGGGCCCTTCCACATTGTGTCAGTGGATATCCGACTTTGAGACAGTTTGCCGTGGCCGTGCGCTCAGCGCCGGTGACATGCCAGGGCAGCAGGTGGGAAGCTATCTCACTGGAATGTCGGGATGTGTTGCAGCGATGCCTGACCATTTCCAAACATCAACGCCCGGCCGCAATGCTGGTCTTACACCTTCCATGGATAAAAGCAGAGTTGCCAGTGCAGAAGAGATCAACGTCAAGCCCCACAATGACTTTCGCTGACGCTATCAAGCTGTGGGCAACGAGCACGATTCCAAGTTTGCCGGACTCGCCCGTGCCTGCAGCCCGAACGCATACTCAACCCTGCTTGATGCAGCAGTGTGAAGTCTGGTGATTATAGCTGATACTTTACATGGAAAGACTTGACCCGCCGGGATTTTTTTCAGCTCGTTCGGGCGACCACGAGGACGCCTGTCAGTATACTACAGAACATGACTGTGGGATCGCAGGACTACAGGGCAGATGTTTGAGTCAGAAGGTCATGGGGCAGGACATGACCGACCATTAATGAGGCAGCATATGTGTGTGTATATATATATATATCTAATAAAAATAAATAAATAAACAAAGAAATAAATAAATAAATATATATATATATATCATAAAAAATTATATATATATATATATATAAATAGATATAAATATAAATATAAACAAATAAATAAATAAATCAATATATATATATATATATGCCTATGCGTGCGTATGTATATATTATATATATATATATAAATAGATATAAATATAAATATAAACAAATAAATAAATATAAATAAATAAATAAATAAATATATATATATATATATATGCGTATGCGTGCGTATGTGTATATATATATATATATGTATACATATATATATATATATGCGTATGCGTGCGTATGTATATATATATATATGTATAAAGCTGCTTCGAGAGCCCTGTTGCGACTGTCCTCCATTTGTAGGGACCTCACGGTGTAAATCCCGGGTGTCAGGGGAGTGTGAGCTTCTAGCCAAAGCCAGTTGCGTTCATCACTCTCGTACACTTTCCGTAGCAATATGTATGCTCCTTTGCATGGCTGCGACTGACAGCAAAGCTGTCGCTTTCCGGTTCCATCTGCAGGCCAACTGCCCTGCACAGCTTCATTCAGTTGCTTGCGTCTGAACCTGCGCCAGACGAATCCAAATCTACATTTGAGTACCTGCCTGTTTTCCTGCGCTAGACGCATCCAAATTTACATTTGACGCATCCGAATCTACATTTGAGTACCTACCCTTTTTCCGACTTCCCGTTCAGATGGAGCGGGATTGTGTCACAAGGCTGGTACACTTGTCCCGAGGCATGCAGCTCCAGCTGGTCAGGACTTTCACGCGTTTGTACAGTTCTTCGTCATAGTTCGAGTACTTAGACCAGATGGAGCTCTTTGATAAGCCTCCCTGTATTTTGCATGACTCAAGCAAGCTGACAAAGAAAGCATGGCTTCTGTACCACCCACTGTCGTTCTTCCGACCGGTCTGGCACCTCCAAGCAAGTGTCTGTCATCTCTCAGAGCAAGGACGGTAGCCGTGCATGTAGCCGGCAGCAGCTGGGCCCAACATGCTCCGGAGGCTGTTGTGGCATTTACGAGATGTTTGCCGCCTCTTCATGTGCCAGGCCTGGTTTCCGTTGGCAATCGCAAGGCATGCTAAACTACTAGTCCCCAACACTTACTTACCGCGGACTCTGCCCGGATGATCAGGTCGAGCATCGGCATCGACAGCACCGGTCATGCGAAGTGACGAGGTCGGATTCCCCACAGCAACGCCAAGACTCACGAGCCACAACCCAGTACGAAGACAGTGCATGTGGTGCCAGAGAGCGCCTACATCACCTTCTGTCGCTTGTCGAGCAGCTGAATACCGGCGCAGCTCCGAGGAGACTAAGACTAGTCGGAAGGAATAAGGGCGACCAAATGTTCGTGAATTCGCATGAGCGGAGTCCCGGAGTCCGAAGACAGGAACACGTGCGTGACCAAGAGTCTAGCAGTTTAGCAGGCGGCATCAGCAATGGCATCGTTTTTTTCCGATCGTTACTCGGCCGCGCCTCGCAGTGGCGAAAGCAGAGAGAACTAAGGTACTCGTATCATCTCCAATTTATAGACGAAATCTGAAGAGCCGACACCGTTCCTGCTCTTGTGGCTAACCGACTCCCAAGTTCACTCGCTGATGGCAAACTCAGGCAGGTGCCATTTACGCAAGCAAGTGCATGCGCTGCATGGCTCTAGGGCGATTAATGGCACATTGGAGAACTGTAAGCAGCAAGGGTCACACAGCTACATACAGCTAGATGCCGCAGACCCTACGTCCGGCCTTACGAGCTCCTACGAGTGCCACTTTGGAGCCATGTCGTCGTGGAGACTTCGGCGATCTATGGTTGGATCGTTTGGCCGCTGCTCCGCATCAGATGGAGCTACCAACAACGAAGCGAACGAAACAACATACTGTATCGCGACTGCGAAGACGAGCAACGAGGACGACCGCATCATAACTGCCGCCACGACTACTTTCCTGCTGCTGTACTACTACTACTACTACTACTACTACTACTACTACTACTGGCTACTACTGGCTACTACTGCTACTACTGCTACTGCTGCTACTGCTGCTACTGCTGCTACTACTGCTACTACTACTACTGCTACTACTACGACTGCTACTGCTACTGCCACTTGCTACTACTGCCACTGCCACTGCCACTGCCACTGCCACTGCCACTGCCACTGCCACTGCCACTAAGCTCCTTGGCTCTGCCCTTGTGAGAGAGATGCATTCTAAAAACGGTAAAGGCCTGGACATTCAACATACCGGCTCCACTAGAAGGCACGGGACCTTGCAACCGAAACACAGCTGTAGGCTGCATGATGGAGCACTGCTGCACGGGGGTCTACCGAAGCCCCTTGTAGCTCCCTTGATCCTCCTAGCTCTGGCCCTGTGGCCCTCCTCAGCCCATCGGTCCGATGCTCA